TACTTGGTTTCCTAAAATGCATGAACAATGTTTTGTCCTTTTGTTACAGCAATGTTACTTGCGTACACTCCCTGCAAGGTAGCTTAATGGGATACGAACAAAGCACATGGTTTGCTCCATACGCAGACCACATACATGTTGTGGCTCAGAAATCTGGTCAGATTGCTTCCAGGTGGGTCAAGATGCAGCTGAAGAAAAATATTTAGACTATTCCAGATTTCAACTAAAGGGGATCCACAATGGACAAGCAAGGCAAGGCTGATGCACCTCTCTCCCCTCCCTTCATATGGTCTCACCATCAGTTTTCTCAGACCTGCCCCCAACCTTCTGAGCTACCACTACACTCAAATTCAAGTACAGCATGAGTACCACTACAGCAATTCAAGATCAACTTGGCCAACCTGTTTTTCCCCCACATCTTCCTTCTCCATTGCCCTTCCTTGCCATCATGAAATTGCCACCTGCTAACACCCATCCACCTAGTATACCTAACTCAATCACTTTACCTCTTCTGTCACTGCTTGCCTTGCTTCCCTGCTGCCATTCACATTCACCTGCCAAGCTTCCGTGCAACCAAATGCTTTTTTAACCTGTTGTCTCCTATTCCAAGCTCTCTCTATTGAAATCTGTGCGGTCTAGGTCTGTGCACAGATGAAACATGCAGTCTAGTCCCAATACTGACTGGCCCCTGGAATGTTTCATACATCTCAATGGCCTTAAGATACCTAACTCAGAATCAGACTGAAACACTATCATCTCCTGTAATAAGGCATTATATGGCCACACAGAGTGTTTCAATCATTTCTTTACACATGCCAAAAAACAACAACCCCACATTAAGTAGAATTTATAAATAATCACAGTGGCCTTTGTAGCAGAAAACTATGGTTACGTGTTTCAACATCAATCCTAGATGTTATATGGCTGTCTATTCTGGTGGAAATAATTCACCATAATTTCTTGATTCCCATGAACAAGAAAGTTATATCTGCATGGATTTACATTGTGCTAAACCAGTGTGGTTGTTTTTGATTTAATGTGAATGGGGGAGAGGTCTAGGATTGTTTCAGGGCAGTGACCTTTAGCCTATTTTTGGTTTAGATTGCAACTGTAGTTTAAGGTGACATGTGAATAGAAATACGCATTCTGTTATTCCTGTTGGTATTTTAGTTTTTTGCTCCCTTCTCAAGTCTCCCAATCAATTAAAAAGCACAAATCAAGAAGAGCTCAAGGGAAGGAAAATATGCCAGAAATTTGTCAACAGGCTATGATTACTCTGTTTATCTGCAACACTGACTCTGATTTGATTCTAATTTTGTTCAGCAAACTATGCTTAGAACAACTCACGGCTGAGGTTGCCTGAACTCTATTCAGTTAAATGAGGTTTCTATAAAGAGACAGTCAAAATGTTAGTACAGGAAGCTTATTCATATGTCGGGTTATTTTAATACAAATAGCAGTCACTGTATTCTTGGATATCAAATTAGATTGAAAGTCAATCTGCTATAGGATTTGTTTAGGCTGAACCTACCTCTTGGGTGAGCCGTCTGGTAAAGAAAGGATTCAAATATCTGACATCAAGCCACATAAAGCCTTTCAGATCCTGCCGCTTTATATAATGAGCTTCATACTCTTCCTCTGTAAGTTCAGACAAGTGTTCAGATTCAATGGTGTTTCCCTGAGAGGAGATGATTATAATAAAAAAACAATAGTTTTTTATCTACTGTGTTTACACGCAATTCAACAAAAGCGTCAATAACTTTATAGTTACGATGGAAAAATTAAGAAAGTCACTACAGACATATTCAAAAATTAAAGATCATATAAAAGAAGAAAGAAATCTTGACTTGCATTCAACCATTTCAAGAGCCGATTTCTGACTGCCGCAGACTTTAGATTTGTGCTGTTTTATAACTTTGGCAGTTCGCACTGCACCAAATGTGACAGAAAAGAAAGCAGCAAAAGAACCTGCTAGGAACCAGTATTTTATTAGTCAGGTTATTATCACAAAAATGGCTTGTCTGTTTTGTGATTTTACCTTCCAGCTGCCTTTTACCTGATCTGAATTTATACCAGTCACCTCAAAACAAAGGGTGGTTGAGAAAAACGCTAGGAGGAAAAGTCCACATTGCAAAATGACCAACGCTGCACATTTTACAACTGCATTGCAGCACAAAGTAAAAAAAATGGAAGCGAGCACAGAGCCTAGCAAGTACATCTTTTCCAAAATGACTCCAATCTTCTTCTGACAAGCACATGTGAGGTCCTAAGTGATGGGGATTTAAATATTTAAAGGGTCTGGCTGGAATTACATCTGAGGATTCCAGCACATATACCCATTAATATGTAGAAACACTTAAGTGCACCTTATACAGATTGACATGCTTTCATATTACAGTATCAGAGTAACCCATGATTAATTTAATTGGGATTTACTAAAAGACAATACCTCACTAAGTGTGACAAATCCTACTTTTGGCGTGGCATCACAGAGCTCCATCTGATCGACTGCTAAGAGGACTGAAGAAATAGAATTCAGCTCCTCGTTTTTCCAATCTCTACTGTACAACCTCATATATAAAACTAATCCCATCCAGAGTCATTAGGAAAATGGGTTTAGACTTATATAACCTTAATTTCTAGTGCCAGAACACCAGAGACGCAACGAACTCTTTGACTGAGCAAAGCAAGAGCTAGTTTCCCCAAAAATGCTGCTTTTCATTTGTGCTTCACTTCCTACAGAACTGGAGAGAGGTGCTCAGAGAAGAAGCAAGAAAAACGAAAAAAAAAGAAATGGGGAGCAAGGAAACCCAAAGACCCCTCTCCGAACATCCCTTCTGCAGGGATTATCTGCCAAATGCCAGTATCTTATTGTAAGATATAAGAGGGATCTCGTTTAGCTGAGCTGAATCTATTAGTTTTATTTACAATTCTGTATATGTGGCATTGCCTTCCATTGTTTTTCATATACACCTCTTTCCCAATGAATTCCATATATATATATATATATATATGTAGGTCTTTGGTTAATCGGGTTTTCTCCCGCGTAAAATTGGAAGTGTCTTGGCGACGTTTCGACGAAGTCCCATTCGTCATCTTCAGGCTGGTGTCTTCAGCTTCGTGCTTCTAGGAGTAGTGTGTGATCGCGGCTGTTTCTTCCTTTTAACTGCCAGTGGGGTTTGAACTGATTGGGTGGGAGCTTGGCTGTGTTCTGATTGGGTGGAGGTGTGTTCTGATTGGTTAAGGAGTTTGGCTGTGCTCTGATTGGATGGGGGGTTGGCTGTGCTCTGATTGGATGGGGGAGTGTTCTGTTTGGGTGGGGGCTTTGTTGTGCTCAGGTTAGTCTG